GAGATCCATGGAGGAACACACATTCAACGCCACTGGACTTCTTTTCCTGTCGTGGAGGTTGTTGCTCAGGCAGACCACGAGCCAACGCTTGCTCAATCCCCTCCCCATCTTCACTCGTCTGTGATTGAGCTGGCTCAGTATTTACTTCCCCGGAATTTCCAGTGTCCTTTGAAATTTCGTCGTGGCTGGGTGGCGTGGGTGGAGTCGGCACTTGTGTCGTCGACTTTCTTGAAAAGCGACCTCGGTGTCCAGGTCCATCGTGAAGTGAGGTCGTAAGCCCCACCTTCTCCTCGATCTGGTCAATATTCTGCGTGTAGCACCGGACCAGCTTGCCCCGGTTGCGTAGATGGCCGATGAAGTGATGAGACGCTGTAGGCTGCACATCCTTGACCTTTTGTCGTAAGGTAGTGGCGAAAGTGTAGAACACCGAAGTTCGTAGGGGGTCAGCCCAGATGGAGGCGTCGAAAAGGTCCCTGCCTTTGATATTGGGTAATGCCTTGGCCGGGTTGGAAGATGGCGGTGTTTCGTCGATTTCTGAAGACGCCGTACTGCTTGCTGTGCTGGAAGATTGCCGGCTCGTCGACGAAGAAGCCTCCTGGAATGGGTCGGATAGAATCGTTGGGGGAGATGAAAGGGGTGATGAGGAGAAGCCTAGGGGTGGTGATGATAAAGGCGAGCTGAAATCGGAGCGGAATCTAGTGGTTCTAGGTGTAGTGAGTTGCGCGGCGATCAGGTCAGTCCTGAATGACGAAGCCGCCGGGGGAAGAGTTTCCTCAGACTCGTCATTGGGCCAGGTTTGGCGTGGTCTCAACGGGCTTGAGGCGAAGCTTGGAGACTCAATGTCGGCCGCTTGCATCGAATTCAGCGAAGAGGTTAATAGGGACCTCTTTCGCAATTCAGCGGAGTTCGTTTGGTACGCGTTTGGTCGCCGCCTGGGATCGGGGCTCGCGGAGCGCCCTCGGACGCGCAATGAAGTGCGGATAGGGCTCTGCGCTCGCAGTTCGGCTGCCGAAGGAAAGCTTCGCGGTGGCGCCGCATCTCGTGGTGGGCTCGGGGGTAATGATTGCGCTCTCCTGGAACGTCGAAGCTCGCCCTGTGGCTTAACGGGTGTGCTCTGGCAGCTGACGGCATGTTTGGTGAATTCCAATGCCTTCTTGGCCCTCGATCTGGTACTGGGAGGGCTGGGCATCAGGTTTACTGCCCCCTCTCCTGCAGAACACAGCCTCTCATCGTCGGATCCTACAGTCGCGTGTGCGTTGTCTGTTTGCATGTCTTCCTTCGGTATACATATTGCCGAGTCCTCGGAGGAAATCTTCTGTCGCTTAATGGGTCGTTCTGCCTGGGTGGTGTCTGAGCATGACGATGCAGAAGATGATGACAGACGCCTGCCTCCCGGAGCATTTTCTCTGCTTGCGGCATCAAATTGAGCCTGAATCAGAGAGTACAATCCATTTTCGCTTCGAAAATCCTAGAACATTGTTAGAAAGATCGAGGAACAGTGGCAGTTGGGGTTGCTCACAGGTATGCCAGAATTGGTGCTAATGCCGGCACCGGTTATGACCACGACTTTGCGAGCTTTGAAGAGAGCATCGGCAATACCCTGCAGAAGCACATCTTCCGCAGGGGTTACCTGAGTGGTAGGCATGTCGATACGTCCTCAAAGTCGGCCCATTGGACTGGTTCGTAGTGGTTGTCGAGGCGGCTCGCTGACGACTTCGGCTCGGATCACGGGCGGTTCTGGCAATGCGCGACTGGGACAGCTCCTCGCAGAACAAACAGAGGTCTTGTGGAAGACGTCTGTGTAGTCCGAAGAAAGCCGACCGAGAAGAAAAGACTTGGTAGCTGCCTTGAACGAGCGTTTTGCGACGCGACTGGGGAAGAATTGTGGATGGTTGCGGTACCGACGCGGTGGACAGAGCGGGAACTGACAGTTGACCGGGGTTCGCGACGAGGAGCTAGTGGACGAATTTCGCGACGGGTTGAAATCGGTCGCGAGGCTCCTAGGTCGATTGATGTCGCTGCCGGCTCGAAATGCAGGTTGAAATGCAGTCCGTCAACAAGTCGGGAATCGCGGGTTTGCAGAGGTGTTGTTGGAGGCGAAAGGTAATGTAGGTAAGAGAGGTGGTGATATGGTGAGGCGAAAGGGAAGTTCCAGGCCCAAGCTTGACCTCGAACGAACAGACGCGTCTCAGAACGGGCTCGGAAAGACCAAAGCTTTAAAGCTTAACGGGGTAAGCTCCAGGTAGCGCGTTGCCCAATTCCGGATCTCGAAAAGAAGGGAATCATGCAAATTCGATCGCGAGAGGCGACACACAAAAGAAGGAGGCACGAGACTGGTTGGTGATTTGGCGTTATGGACGGAAGGTTGGAAGGTACGTTCGTTCGAGGATCTTGCTGAATCGGATGTTGTTTTGCAACCGCGACTGGCCGAAGGGACCTCGCCTCTCCACTTTCCATTTCAGTGATTCGGTTCAGTGAACGAACGAACGGCGGCCGGACAGACGCCAACTGCCCAGCGCAGATCGCTAAGTGAGATCACCGAAGCTCCATCGATTATCGATAAGATAACGATAAGGCCCCGATAAAGAAACACGGAAAGTGGGGATGCAACACAGACGTTAAGGCAGACGGTCTCTCAAACACAGCACTTCCCGCATTCATACATCAGGTACCTGGGCACCTCGGGTTGGGATCTCTGACCAAGCCAAGAAATGAATGTTTCTCGCTCACTTCTCCATATCATCTTGCGGGGCAAACAACACCTGTCCAATGCTCAAGGAGAATCTCTTCAATGCCATGCCAAGCTAATGGAGAGCACCGGGCGGGACTTAAGCCTTTCGGCGCAGTCATGCTTGACCTCCTGATGATAGGCACCTCAGAACGAGGCCGCTAACGGGATCGAGGGCAATGGAGTTATCATAGCCGGCTCTCAACTTCGCCAAACTATCAGTCTTGCTTTGGACGGGCGGGTCCGACACTCCTCAGGAGAAAAACAATCACTATTCAGAGACGCGATGCTGCTGCCATTGACGAGGCGCATGGGATGCCTCCATACGCTGCAGATTATCATCGCAACAGATCCGACGGCTTGGCATCGGGATATTTTCAGTCTCCACGCCCTTCTAGAAGCTATTCCGGGAAATCGAGTCAGGCCCAGAGCCTCAATCCCAAGATGCAAGGCCGCTGGGCTGAACACACGATACAAGTTACCACTCGAGACGGCTGCATGACAGGCAAACAACCGCCGCTGCAAGGATTCCCAGCTGGTCCCAACGTGGCATCACTTGCACCCGCCCGCCGGCATGGTCCATCTGATCTTTCCGTGCTTCGCGGCATCTTCGGGCGAGACCACAGTTCGGTCCCTGAGACGATGCTGTTTGATCGTCTTGCCTCCACTCCCTTGTGACAGTCCTGACGGCCTTCCTCTGCCACCGCCGGTTGGCTAGCCGGACTCGTGTCAACCACATCTCCGGTTTCCTCACCCCACGAAACCCCGACATGGAGAAAACCTTCCTCAGCTCGCCGCTCATTTTAGTCTCCGTATCCTTTTTTCGCCGGTCCAATGCTACCTTGCAGCGCCCTACTCGTCTGGTTCCGAAAGTCAACACTCGATGAACCATACCTCCAAACAAGTGCCAAGAGCGCATGATTCGACATTAATCGGTGCATCATATGAACTCCCCGGCTAGGGTTTGCTGTCAACCCAACAATCGTGATGTCTACAAATGCCACGATGCTTCCGGCCCCGTGAAGTTTTGTCTTTGCTCCCATCTTTTCAATTCTTGTCCAACATCTCACCTGAGCGTCTTTCTTTTCTAACTTCGCACCACCTTCACTCATTATCCCACTCGGCAGGTCCAACTTCATCATGGTGTGCATTCAGTCATTCACTCTTCTCTGGCTTGCTTCGACAGCAGCTGCCCAAAAGTGCAAGATCCAATTCGATGGACGCATCCCGTCCGGGACGGCACTCAAGTCTCTCGATGCCAAGAACAACTTCTTCAATCCTCAGAACGTCTTTGGCAAGGGCTTAGCTTTCAGCCAAGTTCTCCAATTGCCCAAGCAGGCTGGCTCTCCTTTTGACGGCACGAAGAGCGTGCCCGTCGAAGTCACCATCAGGTACTGCCAATCGGCTAATACCCGAAACTGCAATTGGACTAACAAGCTTTAGTGACAAGTCCATCTTTAACAACCAGACCGGGTTTCGCCGCGCCGAACTCATCCCGTCCAGCAACTCCGGCACGGACCCGTCTACCACAGGCGTGAAGACCCTCCACTTCAGCATCGCAAAGGATGCGCAACGGCCCCTCAATACATCCCACGAGTACCAGATGGCTTTCCTAGAGAGTAACGACTTCAGCACGAACCAGATGGTCCTCAAGACTGGCACTATCCTCGGCGGAAGCAACGCCAACCCGGACACACTCCAGCTCTTTGGCAACGTCAACACGAAGCCGTCGCCTCCTGTCTTGTTCAGCACCCCCTTCACTGAGGGTGTGACACACAACTTTGCCGTTACGTTGGATTTTGGGGCCAAGTGAGTACTGCTACGTGCTTTCGACAGTCATGTCACTAACATAAGGGTAGCACAAGCAAGGTCTTCTACTCGACTGGCAAGGATCCCCTCAAGGCCCAGGGCGATGCAGTCAAGAACGACGTCAGTGGACAGGGACAGTACCATTTTGGTCTTCTCAAGAAGCCCGTGGGAGGCACCGGTGACATCACCAAGAACGGCTTCCAGCCTTCCGGTATTAACGAGGGAGTCATCTTCAGCGGTATCTTCCTTGAGGACAGTGCCGACGGATGCGTCAGCCTGGCTCCGTAAAGTAATCGAGTAAGAGCGAAACTCATTGCATCACGTCTCTGACCGCATAGAAGTTTCCCCTGGTTCATAATAGGCTCAGGCAATAAAGATAATCTCGATTATTGAATAACAAGCTAGAAATAGCCAGCCTATGAGTGTGTAATGTCTCTGGACGAGCCTATTACCAGAATTGGAATTAGTCCAAGTCCATAAACACTTTGAAGAACTTCTCAAAATCATTGGGCACTCCAAGGCCGGTGATTGTATCGAAACCGGGCTTCGCAGGCCATCCCCCAGGCGCGTCTCCGTTCCAGGCACAAGACTGGCTTTCTCCCTCAACAACATCTTGGAGTACGGCGCGCATCTTTTTGGAGTAGAGGGTTGGGTTCAACCAGCCAACTGAACCCTTTCCAGCCCGTAAACGTGCGTCATTGACCAGAGCTATCATGGCCGCAACGACAGGACAACTGGCACTGGTCCCGAGGACACTGCTCTCCTTGCCGGCTCGTTGAATGACAAAACCGGAACCGATGGCGCTGATGTCGGGAAAAGCACGACCGGAGGTATTGTAACGACCGTCAAGAGTGCCATTGAGGGCCTTGGTGTACTTCTTCACCACACCATCTTGCCATTCCGGTCTTTCAAAGTAGTTGCTGAAGCCACCAGTACTGAACTTAGCCCCATTAACGGGCGGCCCAGAGTTTGTGGTAGCCCCGATCGCAGTGACGTACGGACATGAAGCTGGAAAGGTTGGTAAAGTCATCTCGGTCATCTTGCCGTCATTGCTGTAGCACTTCAGACCTCCCGTACCCCGTGCACCGCCGTCTCCGCTAGCGGCAAGGACAGATACGCCTCGTGCTGCGAGAGAAGCGAACATGTCGCACGTCCTGATGGCGTACGGCTGCGGGACGCTCAGCTCATCATCGGCGTAAGAGATTGATATGACATGGGGCAAGGTGTCGTCCGGTCGGGCGAGAAGATACTCCAGAAACTCTAGGTAAGGCTCGTTGTCTGACTTTGGAGAGTCATCCGGCTTTCCATCCTTGTCTAGTTTTGTTCCGCGGCCTCCTGTGGAATAGTACACAACGTTGGCAGGATAACCCAAAGCCATGGCGTATTGGACATCAAGTGCAGCTTCCGAGCCGGCGACATTCGCGCTTTGCCGGTTCTCGCCGCCGTTGATGAGCTCGACGCTGAATTCGTAGCCCGTCTCCAGAATCTCGGGTGCAAAACGCTTTATAAACGTCGTGGTGTCTTCCTTGTTGATGTACTCCTCTAGGAAACCCGCAATGCCGAATTTGACGGGCGAGTTCCCGATGGGGGCTGTATAATTGATCTTGTAAAGGGATTTGATACAGATCGGGTCAGTGCCGTCGTTGCAGGGGCTCTTTGATTTACCGGGAGGTGCTTTTGATTTCTCGGCGAGCGGATCCAGCCGCAGTGGCTGGCGGAAGGTGGCCATGAAGTTGGTGACAGGATGAACAAAGTCGATGGCTGAGGAGATTTTCTCTGGAACCGAATATGAGAGGGCTCTAATAACCGGAACCCCGCCATTAAAGCTGTACTGGTTGAACTCCGTGTGAAGAAGCTTCTCGCCGTTTGCAACCGTCGTATTGAAATTGATCCAACTCCGGGATACCTCTAAGTCGACGATATCCTGAGCCGTAAGCCACGAACGTACGGCATCCACATCCTCTCGGCTGGCGGCACGGTAACCCTCTACGGATTCTTGAGAGAGATGTTTTGTGTAGTCCTTGCTAGTCGGGTTGCTGATAGCCTTGAGGCGAGACTTCAATTCGTTGAGCTTGGGCTGCTTAAGGGCAACGGAAAGGGTGATCCTATCCGTTTGTTCGGGTTTACCCTGGGATATCCAGCCTTCAGGGACATGGGCAACATTCTCGACCTGAGTAAGGGCGCTTCCGACAGAGATAATTGCAGATGCTGTGATCGCATACAAGGTGAGATAGTTGGCGATCATAATGGCGGCAGAAATATTGGAAAGAACTCGAGTAAGTATCCAACAAATCCAACAAGAAGATAAATTGCACAAAGATACCTATCGGCTTTTGAACCTCATCAGTGCAGGAATTACGAGGAATTAAACTCGTTGCCGTGATCCTAATTAGGAAAAAAGGTGAGGTCGGACGACGCTTGCATTTACATCCCACGAGCTTGGGCGTTTATGTTGCCTGTTCTCTTTGACCAACATAGTATTTTTGGGATTATTCTTCGGTCTATGCGGCCGGTATTTCCTGCGGAAACCAATGCAATACATCATTTTCGGCACGGATCAATGGCAAAATCATTGGTACCATCAATTCAGCCTTTCACACATTCAGCCGTGATGCAATGACACGACGTTAAGGAATGCTCCGGTTAGCCGCTTTCGGCATTGGCACATGAGACAACCTGTGCCTTTGCGAAGAACACTTTCAATAAGATACCGGGGAAACTCATTAAAGATTGTAGATAGACATGTAATATGTAGCACTCGGTTCTGCAAATGGTAGTGGCATTGCGGGCATGAGGTCCGGGCTTACAAACAACACGGTGCCTAAACTTCGTGCTCATGGTGGCTGACCACGGCGGCAATCTTCTCTTGACGGTTGGCGACCTCCTCCAATTGCGGTCTTAGGGCATCGGCTGCCTCTTGCGAGAAGTGACGAGCGCTAACCCGATGCTCGAAGAGCAAGTCAATCTCCGAGTACGTGAGACCAAACGGCTCCGGCAGTCTGAAGAACGTCCACGCGAGGAACAGGGCTGCAATACCAGCCCAAAAGAAACCACCCTTGGCGCCCCAATTCCAGTCGTTTGTTCCGATGATCTTAGGCTGAATGGCGTTGACGATGAAGCCACCCGAGTTGTAGAAGGCACGGGCGAGTGCGACAGTCTTGACACGCAGCCGAGTGGATGGCATCTCAGCCACGAGGGTGTAGCAAGATGGACCGACGCTAAGCTGGAAGAGGAAGAGCATCACGACGATGAGAGCTCCCACACCCCAAGACTTTGCGTTCGATTCGGCGCCGACGCCGAGTCCTCCGATGACGATGAGAATGACGACCATGGACGACAAGCCCGCCAAGTAAAGGGTGCGTCTGCCAATGTGGGTCATGATGTACCATGCGATGATGCATCCGATGAGACCGATGCAGTTCTGTACCAAGCCCATTGAGAATCCGCTTTCTTTACTGAGACCGGCGCTTGTCATGAACTGCACACCATAGCCCATGAAAGGCACTCCGCAGAAAGACTGGGTCAGCCAGACCATGCACGCAATCTCGGTGCGGCGGAGGTCGATGCCACGGAAGCAGTCCCAGTAGTGAGTTCCGGAGCTGACCTCAATCTCAAATTGGTTGGTGAGTCGCATCATCTCCATGTGGGCATCCAGATCAAAGTGGACGCCACTCTGAGGAGATGTCAAGCTGCGGACCGCTTCTCTGGCCTCCTCCATGCGGTTCTGGCGAACGAGCCACCAAGGGCTCTCTGGGGCGAACAAGGTGCCGATGATGATGGGGATAGGCCATACCCATTGAATCGCGAAGGCTGTATCAAAGTCAGCGAAGCGGTCGATTGTCTCTCCCTCATCACTTACGAATACGATAACCCCACTGATTATCAATCTGCAACAGACCACGAAGCATGCCGCTGCTGATGAGTCCTCCGATAACCCAGCACATGTTACTGCGCCCATTAGTTGATGTTCGCATCATCTGCGATCGGAAAAAAAACTTACACCCAGGACGTCATGTAGCCTCTGAGTGCCATAGGGCAGATATCGGCAGCATAGGTGACAGCCAAGGTCTGGAAGATGCCCCATGGGATACCCTGAATAAGAGCACCAGCAAGAAACATCGGTAGACCATTGGAGAAGAACGGAATGAAGACGGCACCAATCATCGCGACCATAGAGACGACCATAGTCTTCTTGTATCCAAGCCACTCGGTGATGAAGCCATTGAGGATGAGACCAAGGATGGAGCCGACTTGGACACCGTTGTTGATGATTGTTTGCCACCGGGACGAGACGATCATTTCACCCTTGGCATTGATCTCGTCTCCATAACGGTTCGCAAACGCCGGAAAGACGTAAAAGTTGCTCATCAAGTTGGTGTCGTAACCCTTTGCGGGTTGTTAGTACCTCGCTATGACTGAGTCTCCCAGGACGGGCGACAGCGTACCTCCATGATGATAGCCAGAGAGATGATGAACGAGAATATCACGGCCTTGGGCCAGAATCTAAGAGAGTCTCGAACGCTCATCCCACGCTCGATCTGCATCGCCGTGATGGCTTCGCCTTGGTTATGATCATTGTGGTGGCTGGCGGCTGGCACCGAATCGGCGCCAATGGCCTTGTCTTGCGACATGTCGAATCAGATTGTAAGGAATCGCCGAAGAAACCGGGCCGTCGAGAATGAGGTTATTCCCATATCATGACTATAGTTGGAGAGGGCGCGAGGTCGCATTTATAGACAAGAACGCGGGGGCTGTTCACACCCTGCAACGCAACACAACAGTTGCCATCTGAACAGGCCAGAGCCCAATCCAATCTCCTGGTATTGCCGAGGATGTGCGGAGAACCCAGACGAACCCATGATGGGGGCAGCGTTGGCATCGCACGTTTTGAGGACCAAAGCCGCACATCGAGGTGCTGATGGGAGGGTCCCATGGGGAATTCTCCGGGTTGGAGACGATGGTCGGTCGAGACTTTTGGGGAAGCAACCAGGTGCCATCATTCGTCAGACGACTGTGGGTGACACGACTCAATGCTCTGAGCCGGGGTTGAGAGAGAAAACCGCACTTATTTGCGTTTGCCTTACCTGAAACCCCTGTCAGTGCGCGATTTATTACCCCTCTACGCTACTTTTGCCTATTCGTACGTGCTAACGCTAAAAACGCGTTAATTAATGCAAATTATCATATAAATTGATTATTAATAGCTTTAGAAGACCTTTTTTTCGCTAGAATCTATATACTATCCTTCTTTTTATCCTTATAGGGTTAACTCCTCTTAAGTAAGCGTATTAAGGTACTATAGGGGGCTAAAATTATTACTAATTATATTAATTTAGGGCTTATAATATTATTATTATCTATCTAGCTAGTATTATTAATAAATTAATATATATTATTATGAAATCTAGGTATAAATTAATTATTAGTATTATTAATAAGCTTCTTTTTACCTCATAATATTTATATAACTATATCTTATCTTTTAATAATAAAGTGCCTTAAATATATTAACACTAGAGATCTTATTATTAAACCTATTTAGTAATATGAAGTATATATAATATAGCTTTCTTACTATCTATCCTCTTTACTAGTACTATATTTAATTAAAATTATACTAATATTATAGAGTAAATAATACTAAGGCTATTAAGTAGTAAGTAATAAGCTTAGCTAAAAGAGTTACTACCTATTTATTACTTTAATAATAAGTTAATTATAGAGCTTATTAAGTATAATATTATAATAGTTTAAATCTATTATTAATAATAAGAGATATCTAAAGATATACTAAAACTATATTAACTAGTAGGTTTTAGGTATTATAAGATATTATTAATTTATAAGGAGGTAATCTTTAAGCTTTTATATAATAAGACTAACTACTATTTTAATAAAGTTTAAGGTTTTCTTATAGAAGAGTTTAATTTATCTATATTTATATTAGTAATCTCTTACTACTTCAAAAAGATCTAATAGAAGAAGAAGAAGATTTAGTATATTACTTAGTAATAAAACTAAGTTATATGAGAAGTATATATTATATTAATTTATAACTATACTACTAATATATTTATTTTTATTAATAAGAGTAGTATTAATTATTAAAGTAGTATTAGATATATAAGTTAAATACTAAAGGGTATAAAGCTATTAAAGTAGAGTGTTATAAAAAGAGGTATATAGTATTATATCTTACTAGCTCTTACTATTAATAGTCTTCTTAATTATATTATTTATCTTAAATATATAGATATTAATAGCTTCTTATATTAAATTAAGAACTTTATATTACTAAAGATAGGGAAGTTTTTTAGTTTAAAGTTAGTCTTAGTTATAAATAATATAATATAATATAACTAAAAGTAGTTAGAGGATATCTATTAATAGTATAGTATTAAATTGCTATATTTACCTGCATACTTACTAGATTTTAACCTTATTAAGGCGTTCTTTAGTAACTTTAAAACTTATTTATAGAGGTAATATATAAAGTATAAATAGATTGAGGTAATAGATACCTTCTTTATAGACTTTCTTTATAACTATACCTTTAAAGTAGCTAAAAATACTAACGCTATTTTATATTATTTTTATTATTATAGTATTTATATTAAAATAGATAGAGATATTAATAGAGAGGAGAGCTTACTATAAAGTTAAGTTTGTAGCTATAGTTATATTTAACTTTAATATTATTAAGGGCTTTTTTACTTAAAAGAACGTAATATTAATATAAAATAAAAATAATCTAATCTTAATAGTTAGTTAGTTTTATAACGCTTTAATTATAGTATATTTCTTTTTAGTTATAGTATTAGAGGTATATCTTATTTATTAGATAAATTATTATTAGTTATTAAGGTTAAGATCTTTATATTTATATAAAGAAGTAGGAAAAAACCCCTCTCTACTTATTAAAGTTTACTATTATTATTATTATTAAGTGATTAGGTAAGAGAAGTAGTAGGAGAGTGAATATTATTAGTTGCTTTAATTAGAAGGTTTTATTTAATAGTATTAGCTAGAAGTATTATATTATCTAGAAGTATTATGTTATCTACTTAAAAATCTATTAGCTTTTAATATTATAAAGAGGTAGGTATAAACTATAGTTAGTTATTAAATTTATAATATTTTGCTTAATTAGGAATTATTTGATTTTGCTTCTGATTGTTTTTGTAATGCCTATAGGGATATTATTTTTATTAAACTAATTGGTTAGTGCTTTTTAAAGGGATTTAA